CCCTGGTTTGTATTTTCTTTGTATGCTTTGTGACCTTCTGTTGAAATTTGGGCAATGAAAAAACAGTCATCTATCCCAGTCTTTATGAACTCAGTAGTCAAACTCATAAAAACAGAATATAGAATGGTGCTATCCAGGGGCTAGAAGGAGGGGGAAATCAGGAATTGTTGTTCAATGGATAGAATTTTGGTTTTGTATGATGAAAAAGTTATTGAGATCTGTTTTACAATAGTTTGAACAGACTTAGCATTACCAAACAGTACACTTACAAGTAGTTAATATGGGAAATTTTACATTACATGTTTTTTACCACAAAAAATAAATTAATTAAAAAGCTATATCAGACATCATACTTGATGGCAAAATGTTAGCCGTCCTTTTGAAATCAGAAACAAAGTAAGTTTTTGGCATCATTGTTTATAGTCAATATTATAATAGCTTGGTGAGATAAAAAATAAAATTACTCTGGGAAGAAAACTAGTGTTAGTCACAAAGTTATGCTTATCTACAGTGAAAACATAAAAGTATTGAATACTGAATTTGGATTTAAGCATTATGATTATCTGGTTACCTTGAATGTCATTCCCACTGAAAATTATTAATTTAGTTTAACTATTAGTTTAGCTAATAATTTAGATTCTCCATGTTTTGAATACGTCACTGAGTTTGCAAAAAGATAAGATGTATAGGAAGGAAGCCGAAATCTAAAGAAAGCAGGAACTCACAGAGGTAAGATGACTTCTTCCAAGGAAGAATTTGTTAAGCTTCAGGGAAACCGACCTTTAGTTTGCATTGACTAATGGGATATGGGCAACACCAGACATCTTAGGGCCTCATCAAGGTAGAGAATCCAACAACATAAAAATCTAATAAAATTCTAATCCCAGCATGCAATACCCTTAACCTAAGAAGAAAATAAGAGACAAAAAACTCCCCAATCTTTTCTGTTTCATAAGTAATATTAAGTGTAGTGAAAAACATTTCCCTTGAAATTCAATTGGTAGGACTTCAGATGAATTTGGAGTCTGAATATAAATTAACTGAGAGGAACACCCCCCCCCAAAAAAAATAACACTAAAACCTCAAGCTAAGAATTTATTTTAAGATGATGCTGGTTTTGGAAGTACCTGACAGAAGCATATGTATAAAATCTGGAAGAAATCTCTCAATCCAGCCTCCAAAGAAATCTCCAAGAATTACCATGGAATTCTCCAGTGACAGAAGCTCAGAAAAACTTAAAACACAAAACACAGAATGAAATAAGGCACCATGAACAAGAATCAGCAGAGGAAAAGTGGAAAAACCAGGTCCCTAAATACTTCAGATATTGGCATTTTCATTTAAAATAATTATATTTAATGTGTAAGGGGGTGGGGCATTGTTCCCATTCCTTAGATAGGATTCAGAGGGATTCAGAGGAAAGTGACTGTAATATGTACACAGGCACATGGTGAGTTAGCCAAGCCTGTCTCCCCAGCAATGAGCAGTGGGAGCAGATTCTGCTGACCAGCATCTGTATGACTTTAGCATACACTTTAACACACTGAACCTCAGTTTCCTTATCTATAACGCTAGGGTTTACTCTCATCTCTCAAGGTTGCTAGGAGGCTGAAATATGGTAGATAAGGCTTGTGACTGTAGATCGAGGCCTACAGAAATGCACAGACACTCAAGCTGCTGAGTTGTCTTCCGCCCAATGCCATAAGACCACCACCTAGTTCAGAGGTGAAACAGCATCCTGAGGGTATTCAAACCCAGTCCCTGTCAAAAATCACAGGTGGAGACTGTACCCCACTGTACCTCATACCCCTTCAGAATGCCGAATCTCCAGTTAAAGGAATAAGCTCTCTCCTAATGAACTGAAAGTCTGTATTGCTGGAATCCTCCAGTCAGATATGTGGACATGGCTAAGACTACTTCTTTTCAGTCAAGTGGTTTCCTTGGGATGCCTGCAAAGACGGCTCCATTAACACAAAAGCACTTGAGTACCTTTTATTCTTCAGAAAGGAGGTTAGTAAACCTGGGAAACTGAGAGGGTAACAGGCAGGAAGGCCAGGGGTTTCCAAATGGAGGAAATAGGCTGCAAGTGTCAGACATTTTTTATCTCTCTCTTAAGCGGCAGGAGGAAACAAACTAGTGGGATATATATATACCCTTCTCTATACAAATTTAAAAAGAGATTTCTCTTAAAATTCTGTGTTGCCATAATGACACTTGGTTCCACCTGAACTTAACTATTCTCAAACCTTGAGCTAACCAATACATTTTTCTCATGGAAATGTTTGTCTTAAGCTATGTTAATGTACTATGCATTTACCCCAGACTCTGTCTTCAAGTTGATTCACCTAAAGGCTCAGAACTGACTTGACAAACCAGTATGTTATACATTGTTCTCTTAATCTATGTTCAGTTCAGTTCAGTTCAGATCAGTTGCTCAGTCATNGGATGACTCATCTGGTGCCAAGATTATCTCAAAATGCATCTTATGGGTGAGGGGCCTGGTGCCATTCTCTGAGTTTTGAGACATTTCCTTCCTTTAACTAACTGCTAGTAGCTATATAACATCCAGCTAAAGACTAGTGAGGGGGGGTGGATATTCTTTCTGCCCCTTTCTGATGTCTATGTCAGAAGCTTTATCTATCTCATTTGTACTTTAATAAAACTTCATTACACAAAAACTCTGAGCGATCAAGCCTCGTTTCTGCCCCACCCCACCCCCTGGGATTGAATTCTTCTCCATCCCAGCATCTTTTTGTGGTTCAACAACAACTTTTCAAAGCCTCAAGCGATAAAAGAAACAAGCCACACTGCACCCTCTTTGAAACTTCCTAGGGAGGGCCCTCCAGTCAGGAGTGCTCATCAGGAATCTGCTACATCTTTATGCACAGCAAAGCAAAAGTCACAATCTATATCATAAGGAGATGACTCCATTAAAAGACACTAATCAGAACACTCTTCCTCCCAACATGCTCAGAACTCTACTGAGAAGACTTCATAACCCCCGGGCAACTCCCATTTCCAGCCAGCTACTTCTCTTTTTAAATTTTATTATTTATTTTTGGCTGCATTGAGTCTTCATTTGCTGAGCCTGGGCTTTCTCTAGTTGCATCAAGTGGGGGCTACTCTCTAGTTGGGGCACGCAGGCTTCTTGTTGTGGTGGCATCTCTTGTTGCGGAGGACAGGCTCTAGGCAATGTGGGTTTCAGTAGTTGAGGAGCTTGGGCTCAGTTGCCACGTGGCATGAGGAGTCTTCCTGGACCAGGGACTGAACCAATATCCTCTTCACTGGAAGGTGGATTGCTAACCACCGGACAACCAGGGAAGTCCCAGCCACCCACTTCTGAAGGAAGGTGGAAGCAAGGTATCACAGAATAATACAGGAGCGCCAGCCCATTCCATGGTCAGATGGCAGGTACTCCTCACTGGCCTTGAGACCATTTTTTTTTTAACCTGTGGTTGGTCCCACAGTGTGGTAAGAGGTGTCTGTGTCTGAAGCTTCATTTTCTGGGAGGTATATATTTGAATCTGCCTAGGATATCAGAGGGAGGAGGTGTGTGAAATGGCAATGTGCAGAGCCCTGAGTTAGCACGGAGCACTGTCTCAGCCTCTCTTCGCTGTCTTCAGGCCTTAGTCTGAGGGACAGCTGCATACAAAGCCTAAGGAAGAAAACCAAAAGCACTCAACAAAAACAAAACAAACAAAAACTCCCTCAATAAAGGAAACCTCAGAGAAGGCACAAATGAGTCAGAGGGCAAGAATGTAGGATATTTTGGAGTCCAGCTGCTTTGTATTCATGGACCAAGACCACCTCCCTAAGCCTATTTCTCCATCGGTACAATGAGGATAATGTAGCATCTATCCCCTAGACTTGAAAGGATTGAATAAGATAATGTGCATCAAGTTTCATAGTCTAATCCTAACATGAGTGGAAGGTAGGTAAAAAAAAAGGTAAATACTCAATGGATTTTAAGTAATTATAAAGGGGATAAAGGAAAACCATTCTTGATCTATAGGTCTTCTTTCCTCTCCTCCTGAATCATGGGTCCCAAGTCAGGCCTCCCAAAGCCTGGCCCATGTTAGCCTATGTGGATGTGATCATGAAGACAGTCTGATCTTGACTTAATAGCCTTTAGGAAACCTAGTGATTAGCTCATGGACAGTAAGTGTCAATGGTAAGCCAGTGCACAAGACCTGACCCCCTGGCCAGGCACTCTGGTGGCTACTGTTCTGCCCCACTTTCATCACAATCTCTGTCCTTGACCTACTCAGTGAACTGCCTTGAGCCAGTGCCCTGAATCTGCTCCACATGCCCAGACTTCTCTCCTACACACAGGTTGTTAAGTTCCAGCAGTCTGTAGACTAATTCCTGCCACCTGGTTACTCTGACAGCACCTCAGACAGAAACTGAGTCTATAGAGGTGCTGCCAGGATCCCATCTTTCTCCACAGGGCACCCCCAAAAAATGCCCTTGGGTTAAGGTGTCCTCTTGCACTGGTGTCAGGCCTCAGGGGAGACTGCACTGCTGGAGTAGTGAGCAGGGAGTGGGGGCCGTTCAGCCTCACCCTGCCATGGGGAGAACGTTGAGGGTGGAAGGTCAGGAGAGATGAGTGCCCCCATATCATGGAGAAGACAAGAGGTGACATTCTTCTGTTGTGCAGGCATGGCCCAGCTACTACAAATACTGGCTGGGACACAAAAATGCTGCTTGCTTCATCGAGTGAACTTTGTTCTAACAGTTTTCATCATAGCCTTTCTTGGTTATTGTTACCTGAACCCCAGAAACTGGAAAACATCCCAACTGAGGCAAACTTAACTATTAAAGAACAGGGATCGGGTGGAGAGGGAGGTGGGAGGGGGGACCGGGATGGGGAATACATGTAAATCCATGGCTAGTTCATTTCAACGTATGACAAAAACTACTGTAATGATGTAAAGTAATTAGCCTCCAACTAATAAAAATAAATGGAAGAAAAAAAAAAAGAACACCGCACCCCACAAAGTGTAAAATTATCAAGGATGGTATATCCCCCACCAGATGTGCTTGTACCACCTAGGAAAGATGTCCTTCTTATGACCCCCTGGCTGGCTCCCATCAACTGGAATGGGACTTTCAACACTGACATCCTGAATGAGCAGTTCTGGCTTTGGAACATCACCATTGGATTAACTGTGTTTGTTGTAAAAAAAATACATTTTCCACCTGAAGCTGTTCCTGGAGATGTCAGAGATGTACTTTATGGTGGGACTCAGGGTGAACTACTATGTCTTCACTGACTGGCCAGACCATGTTCCTCGCATTCCCCTTCAGAAAGGATGGCAGATGGTCATATTCAAGGTCCAGAGGTATGCCCGCTGGCAGAAGATTTCCATTCACCGCATGGAGGTGATAAGCAATTTTATTGAGCAGCGCTTCCACCACAAGGTGGATTAGGTGGATTACCTTGTGTGTGCAAATGTGGACATGAAGTTTAGTGATGATGTGGGCGTGGAGATCATCTCCTCCTTGTTCAGCACCCTCCATCCTGGCTTCTATGGATTGACTCGGAAATACTTTGAATATGAACACCAGCCTCAGTCACAGGCCCATATTCCTGCAGATAAGGGGGACTTTTATTACATAGGGGCCTTATTTGGGGGGTCCATGCCCGAGGTTTACAGACTTGCCAAGGCCTGCCATGAGGCGATGATGGTTGACCAGGCCAATCACATAGAGGCCACACGAAATGATGAGAGCCACCTGAATAAATACCTGCTTTACCACAAACCCACCAAGATCCTTTCCCCTGAGTACATGTGGGATAGTCAAATACTCAATTATTTGGAGCCAAATCAGGTGCGGAATTTGGTCCATGCTGTACATTAGTATCAGAGAAGGCAATGGCAACCCACTCCAGTACTCTTGCCTGAAAATCCCATGGATGGAGGAGCCTGGTAGGCTGCAGTCCATGGGGTCGCTAAGAGTCAGGCACAACTGAGCGACTTCACTTTCACTTTTCACTTTCATGCATTGGAGAAGGAAATGGCAACCCACTCCAGTCTTCTTTCCTGGAGAATCCCAGCCTGGTGGGCTGCCGTCTATGGGGTCGCACAGAGTTGGACACAACTGAAGTGACTAGGCGGCAGCAGCTGCAGTATATCGGTATAGATTTAGGGTCATGAAGAAGAAAAAGTGATGAGCAAAGCTTCCAGGAATGGCTCAGAGAGGGGCCATGCTCAGCTAGTCTGAGTCTTCCTCTTGGCATGCCAGCCTTCATTAAAACCAGTTTTANTGGGCATCTAGGTTGCTTCCATGTCCTGGCTACTATAAACAATGCACCAGCAACAATTTTGGCTGGCCTGGTTCCTGGGTTAAGGTAAGTTCCCAGAGCTGCCTCCACCTTTAGCTTCTCACAGTGTACTCCTAACACCCTTCAGGAAAGAGGAGGCAGGCAATCTCAGTCTATCCTGCCAAACAAGGGATCAGAGATGACATCTTCTCCAGAACAAGGAAGGTGGCCCCAGGCACACAGTCTCCTGTTTGCTGTGACAGAGAGGCTCACAGGACTGGCCTCAGCCTCGGCCAAGCAGATGCAAAAAAGCCTTCAACTTTAAGCCAAATTCCTTCCTCTTCTGGGCTTCCCTGTGGCTCAGACAGTACAGAATATACCTGCATTGCAGGAGACCTGGGTTTGACCCCTAGGTTGGGAAGATCCCCTGGAGAAGGGAATGGCAACCCACTCCGTATTTTTGCCTGGAGAATCCATGGACAGAGAAACCTGGGAGGCTACATTCCATGGGGTCGCAAAGAGTCGGATACAACTGAGCGACTAACACTTCTCAGAAGTCGAAAATAAGTTGTAGTGTGAGGTAGGAGGAGAACACAATGCCAAAATCAAGGTCCTCTTTCTTGGCACTTGGCAGCCTATGTGTTTTGCCACCAGAAAACTTTAATTCCAACAATCAGTGATTTCACAGTTTAATCCAAATAATAAAATACCATCACAATACTATCCTAAAGTGAAAGTGTTAGTCATTCATCATGTCCAGGCTCTGCTTTGGTGTGGATGTAGGCACTTGACATATATTTGACAACCAGATACCTCTGCCCCAGACTTGCCCCAGACCTTGCCCCAGAGAAGGACAGTAGAGACCCAACAAGCAGTTTTTTTTAGTATGCTTTGGCTGCCTGACCGCCCTCATTTCTATTTTCTGAATTCAGTTCCCTAGCTTTCCAGGGATTCTGATAGGTTTTCAATAAGTTATCTTTCTACTTTAAATTGGCAGGAGTATGTTTCTTTGCTTGCAATTCTAAATCTCAAATAACAGATGCAGAGAATATGCCTCATCAATAGCTAAGTAGAATGGCCCAGTTTTGTCTGTCAGGAAGTGCTGGGCTTTTTTCACACTAAATAGGGCTACAAAATTTAAAATACATATTGTAAAGCAGTGAATTAATTTTCCATTTTAACAGTACAGCAATAGAAAAATAAATCCAAAGTAGAAAGAACTAAAGAAATGATAATAGGAAATACACAGTAGAGAAAAATTAACACACAAAAATTGACTTTTAAAAGATTAACAAAATTGACAAACTTCTAGAAAGACTGACCAGGAAATAAAAGGAGAAAACTGAAATTATCACTATCAGGTATAAGTGGAGGCATCACTATGGATTGGACGGTCAGTCACTCTAGGGATAACAAGTTACTGTGAGCACTTTTTCATGAAGAAAATTTCACTTTTGTAGGGTTTTCCCATGAATTCTATTACAAAATTAAGATATTTTTTCAATGTTACACAAACTCTGAAAATGGAAGAGATTTCTAACTTATTCAATGAAGACAGCATTACCATAAAACAAAAACATAATACAGAAATGTAAAAATCAATATTTTTCAGGAACATAGGCATAAAATCTTCAATGAAATTTTAGGAAATCAAATCCAACCAAATACAAGAGGGTGATCTAGCATGACCAGCCTTTGGATGGGGTTTGTTTCAGGAATCAAGGTTGGTTTAACATTCAAAAACCAGTCAATGTAATTCACCATATTAGGAGAATAAAGGGGAAGAAGCCATATGATTATTTCAAATGTTTGTGCAGAGTAATACCAACCCCTATCAAAAAAATCTCTCAGTCAGACAGACATTGGAGGAATTTCCTTTATGTGATGAAGCAAATATACAAAGAACCCAGCTAGCAGTATATTGAACACTTTTCCCTTAAGTGTTCAAGGGAAACGAACTTTCCAGGAAAGCATGTCCATTGTTCTCCATCAGTATTTGATATTTTACTAGATGTCAGAAAAAAACATAATGGTAATAAAATACAGATGAAAAAGATTTTAAAAACTCTCTTTATTCACAGAAGTCATGAATGTGTATGTAGAAAATCATGAGAAATCTACAAAGATACTACCAGAAGTACAGAGTTATTTTAACAAGTTTCCAGCATACAAAAATCAATATATAAACCAATTCTATATTCTCTATGCTACCAGTAAACAACTGAAAACTAAAACTTAAAAGATACCATTTACAACAGCATTTTTAAGACCTCATAAAGTACTAAAGTACAAATTAGCAAAAACTGTACAAGACCTATGCACCCAAAACTATTAATACAAAACAGGGGATGGCAAATTTTTGCTCTAAAGGACCAAATAGGAATTATTATAGGCTTTGCAGTTTAAGTATGGTCTCTGTTGCATATTCCTCTGTTTTACTTTGTTTTCACAATGTTTTTAAAATGCTAATATAATTTTAAGCTCATTGGGACAACAAAACAGGCTGTGGATCAAATTTGACCCACAAGCTGGAATTTATGGAACCCTGCTACAAAATATTATCTGAGAGAAAATTTTTTCAAAAGACCTAAATATAGGGAGAGACTTCCCTGGTGGTCCAGTGGCTAAGATTCCATGCTCCCAATGCAGGGGGCCTGGTTTCAATCCCGGGTTGGGGAATTAAGGTCCCACATGCCACAACTAAAACCGTGTGCAGCAAAACAAGTATTTTAAAAGACCTAAGTATAGGGAAAGTTATACCATACTCTTGTGGACTAGAAAAGCTAGTTAAGTTGTTCATCTCAGTTAAGACCCTGAAAGCTAGTGTATGGAATCATAAATTATTAAGAGTGACTGGTTCCCTTGGGGCATGAAGGCTTGTCGGTGGCCACGGTGGATCCACCACCCACTTGGCATGCCCAGGGTCCATGACATGGGAGATCTCTCACAGTTGTGGAGTTTGCTGCCAGGCTCATATAAAAGACAACTGCATCATGCAGATGTGTTGCCAACTGACAGTAACTATCCTACATCTCCTGGGAGACTGGAGCTCATTGTGGCCAATGGCTGACATATGAGGTGAGCCCAAGAAGACTTTGTCATAGGCAGTGACAGTGTTCATTACAGGGAAACTGTACATTAAGTATCAAAAATGGAAATATATGATGCGTTCCTGCAGAGGAGGTACCATAGGCTGGTGGTTAAGTTTGTGAGCTCTGGAATCAGCCTGAGCTCAAATTCTAGCTGAGCTACTACCTACCTGTGTGACTTGCGAAACAGCCTAAGGCTTAAATGCTGTTTTACCAAATTTGTAAAACTAAGAGAAACTGCCTGCCAGGAGAGAATGTGTTGTGCAACAGCCACATCTCTGCCTGAGAAACCTTCATAGTCCAGCTGGTGAGGCGCATGGATCTTACCTCTCCAGGGTGGCCACAGAGAAGGCACACCTGACTCCAGGAGCTGGAGTGGCCTCTGGAGGAGGCAGTATTCAGAACCTTGACCTACCATCACAGAGGGGGCAGGCGGGGTTGCAAGAGTTAACTGGGGGCATCCAAAAGGAAGAGGCTGGGGTAAATTCACCACCCCCACCCCCCCCCACGTCTCAGCATGTGCCCTGCTGTAGCCGTCCCACAATGTCTGGGTTCACAGTAACCACATGAGACAAGGCTAGGGCTGAGCATCCCATCCTCCCGCCCCGCCCCCACCCGTCTCCCCAACTTCGGTCTCTCTGCCCCAGCCTCCCACAAACAAGGCCCCACGCTGTAGGATCCAGGCTCCTCTCCTGCTCTGGCTTTGAGCAGACTCTGCCCACTAGTGATGACAGAGAAAGGGTTGGTGGACCTTCAGGCTCAGGCGGCCCCTGCTGCCCTCGAGCCAGGAACTGAAGTGCGCACAGACGTGGGGACACATACCTGGGGATGACAGGTATGCAGGCTCTTGGAAGTTATAGTACTGAACAGTCTTGTCAAACTGAACACTCGTAACCAGCAGCAGAAAGTCAGAAAGCGCTAGAAAGTCCTGCTGGGGTTTGGCCTCTGGGCCTCATCCTTTGCCTTGGCACTTTTTCCTTATGCTGTTTGCTGTTGTGTGCCCAGCTGGTACTCTTTCTCTCTCACATGTTCCTGTGTCTAAAGCATCAGATGGAACAGTGCATGCTTTACGTTGGAGGAGCAGGTCGCTAAGAGAACTCTCCCAAGTCACGAACTCGACGCTCCAGGGATCAGACAGTGCACGAACTGCCCCTTGTGGGCAACCTGCTCAGCAAGCTTCACTCCAGCCCCTTCCCCACCCCTGGTTACATCTGTGTTTCCTTTCTGGCTGAGGGAATCCCACTGCCCTGTCTCTCTCCTGGCCCTTTTCTTAGGCAGTTCTATGTGAATCCAGTGCCTCTGCCCCTCCATGTTACTTAAGAGGCAGTATCAGATGAGACAGCCTCAGTGCTCCTCTCTGAGGGTCCTGAATTGGGTGGGAGGGGGCTCTCTGAAGAAGCCTCTGGTGTCTGCTTGTTTCTCAAAGAGTCTAGCCACTGAGAACTGGTCAATATTTTCCCTCAGGGGCACAAACTGACTCTCCTTCTGGGCTATCCAATCACCCTCCA